ACTAAGAGCAACAGGGATGGAACTCCATCCCGCAAAATGACATACAGATCGTTTGCATGCTTGCATTCAAAATTCTGGTGGTTACACCGGTTATTAATGTACCAGTATTTCACATTTGAAATGATTTCTCTCTTAACTACATTAACTTGTGATCTTGAAACTTTAATCAATTAAATATTTTACTCACTCAAACGCATTGCCAGAATTTCTTTACTTTATAATAATGTTTTCCTGGTGCTGAGATTTTTTTTTCCATCATTGTATGAATTTGAAAACTAACTAACAGCACTTGAAAAAAAATTATCTTAAAAATTACGGAATGTGCAACAAAATATTAAGTGATAAATGAGAAACATTTTTCCCTGTTAAAAATATAACACGTAACCTTATATAACAGGATAAATCATATAACCTTATATCGCATTGAAAGCAGTTTTTATATATCTCCAATCTTTGTATTTTCAAAAGTTTCGATTTTAATATTAAGATTCATATCTGGCAGCATCTATAGCCACTCTTATTTCTTATTTATTCATTTCTTTAGTTACTTTTGGCAGAAAGTTCGCGGGTTTATGAAATTAAACTTAAGAGAGAAATTTTTCTACCAAATGAACAAATTTAAACTAAAAAATTTTGAAAATTGAAAAATTTTACTCTTGTTTAAGATACAAAAATGTAAAAAAACAGTGAAAATTTCAATAATACAGAAACAGATTGGAGTTTTTTCTTAAAAAGAAATGTGGTGTAGTTTTTATAATTCAAAATGGTTCTATCAGCATGTCAAATTTCATTTCAGTGGGTTTATGTATATAAATACAGTCAAACCCAGCTATAGTGAGCCTTCAAGGGACCGAAATTTTGGTTCACCATAACCGGGAGTTCACTATATCCGTTACGCAGGCAATATAACTAATGGTTCCCAAACTCCTTCCTTTTATTACACATCATTCAAATAAATGACTGAAAGTAAAATGTAATGTAGTAGCAAAAAATGTGTTTGCTTTTTTCATTACTCTTCGTCTTGTGTACAAAAATTAGTAATCTTCAGCTGATGAGCAATCCTCAACATGTTCAACGACATTGTGGAAACACTTTCCGACTCTCAGATAATTTATTCCTGAATTTCTGTTATTCCGGTTTTTAAACCTGTCTAACCTGCCACTCGAGCACATAAGTCTCATAAAATGGCTTAGCAAATTCATCGACATTTGTCCAGATACTGGAAGATTGCGGCTTCTTCGATTGGTGAACCACTTCCTTAATGCTTCTTCAACATCCTTGAGATCTGCGTTTCTCAACTTTTTTCTGCCATCTAAATTTTTTTCATAAGCAGAAATTATTAATAGCCTATTTTTCCATATGTTACAAACTGCAGATTTTGATAGTTCATATTCCCTGCAAATACCTGCTTAATTGCAACCATTTTCAATTTTTCTGATTATGCCCATTTTATCATCAATGGAGAACGTTTACGTTTAATGCTCGACATAGTTAAATTTGAGACACTTGTTTGCAGGATTTTTTTAACTGAACTGAGAGCAAAAAGGAGTTGAAATGATGGCCTTATCAATACATATTATTGCTCAACCCTTTGATCAATAATGAATAATTACTCATTCCCTCTGACAGAAAATGCATATTCATCCCACTGACACCTTACAGGTGTATCGTCTTCCTCTGGGTTGGAAACATCTGCTTGGTTTGTTTAGGGATGAGAAAGTGAGATAAAAGAAGCAAACAAGAAAAATTTTTTATCGCTACATTCCCCTCTGAAGAGGGTTTTGAAAATGGTATATGTATTTATTTTGAAGTAGAAATTTCAAAATTATTACAAAAATTTTTTTTAAAAAAATCAGTTAAAGATAGAAAAAAGTTTTTTATATCCATCTTTCTCACTTTTTTGGTTCACTATATCCACAAAAAATAACATTATCCGTATATAACAAGGCACGGGATCGAACATTTCGTTCACTATATCTGGGAGTTCACTATAAACCGTGTTCTCTATAGCGGGGTTTGACTGTATATGGTTTAGTGTTATATATATATAGTTTTTACATATATTACAGTGGTTTTACAATTAATGATTTTCAAAATGATAATCGAATAGTAACATTTTAGTTTCTATCGAAATTGTTCAATATTTTTCTATACACCTTAGAAATTTCAAGTTTCTAAGTTTTATAGTTTTTGCGAAGCAAACCAAGCTGTAACGTTAAGTTAACACCCAAAGTAGCGGTGGCGCCAGAGGCGCTTGCGATTTTTTTATGTTGAGATATTCAAAATGTGTAGCGAATATACTCTATTAAGTAACGTATTTTTCATATAAACTATTACTTAAAAATTGCCAAAAGACATAAAAATAATTTAAATGTTTGGTAGCTTTCGCAGAATTGCATTTTGTACAAGTCCTTTGTTAACACAATTCTAATTATGTTTTTTAAAACTTGACGATTATGATATTTTTAATTTTTTTAACAACTTGAAAGTATGAAATTATCTCCATTATTATTTTAAGGAAAAATAATATTCTCACAAAAACACAACGCAAGAGCACATTATTTCCTTAATTACTACATGCTTGAAAAACGATCACAAAAAAAATGGCGATTCCAAAAACAAAAAAAATAGCAATGGTTTTATTTAAAAAATAAGTTTCATTTACAAACTTTAAGTTGTTAAAATTAATATCATTACTTTTATGAAGAACATACACCATTTAAATTATTCAACATTAAATTCTTTTGTTCGGGAAAAAGATTCTTTAAATCACCAGACGCGTCTAAAAATATAATTTATTTCACTATAAATCCAGATTTCTTAACAATCGTGCTTAATTGTGGTGTTACTTGAATAAGAAATACAGCAATCCCGCCAAACCTGAAACATTAGGCAATTATTCTCGAAAATTTAATTTAAAAGTTGAAGTGCTAAGTTTAGAGAAATTAAGATTTAAAGGAATTACTTTAAAACTGATGACTACAATTCTACTTTATAAATTGTTTTCGCAATACTATACCCTGTTTTAAGAGAGTGCTCTAATTTTATATCTGTGTGATAAATCTTTTTGTGTATCAGGAAATTATTATATATTACTATCGTGATTGCAATGAAAATATCAGGATTTAAATTATTTTGAAAAAACTTTTATACTACTTTCTTATTTTATTACTTTTTAATACTTTCTATTATTAACTTTTATACTATTTTAACTTTTATACTACTATACTAGCTGAATACCCGTTCCGTAGGGAGTGAAAAAAAGTAAATAATTGATAAATTGGTATTGATCATGGCTGAGAAATTATGTTCAAAACTAATTAAGGAAGTAAGTAATTAAACTTAATTATTTAAGCTAAAACAATTCCAATTTTATTATCTAATACTAGCTGAATACCTGTTTTTTGTACGGGATGAAATGAACAATCAGTAAATCATTACTGAACATTATTACACAATCATGTACTAAACTGAAAGATAAATATTGACACAAGTAATAAAACTATAACAATTCCAATTTTTTTATTTATTTATTTTTTGCCTTATCTGTGGTTTAATGATATTATATTAAGCAAATCAGCCTAATAGTAGTTTTTCCTATCAAATAAAAAGGCTCACTAACTCAGTATTTTCTAGAATATTTCTGTTGCTCGGAGAAACTTATCTAAAATTTATCCGCAGCATCAAGGCCGGGATAGCCCGGTTGGCAGGGCGCTAGACTTACGTTCGTGAGAAAGAGAGTTCGAATCCAGTAGGCCGAAGACTCCCCGTGTAATAAATGGTGACTGGTGCGCTTTATATCTGTCGTGTCGCAAACTCCTTCATGTTCCCATGGCAAATAAATACCTCTGGCGGTACTAAATTGGAGATTGATCGTTTTATGGTTCATGTCAAAATTACAATCTGTGGATGAATGAATGGATGTAGGAGCATGGACTGCCCTTAAAACGGGTGTGACATATAGGTATGCAGAAGTCGAATTCTTGGTCATAGATGGCGCCACTGGAAAACAAGAACCCTCTCTGCCTGAATGGCCGTCGACAACAACAACATCCGCAGCATCTATCATAAATCGGTATTGGTGCAGTTCTGGTGCAGCTTCAATAAGCACTAAATTTTTTCAGTAAATATTTTGCATCTTTTTAGGTAATATTTGGTTCCTATGAAAACTGCACCAACTGCCATAATGGCAATTCTGATTATTACCAAAATTTAGCATCATTGGAGTCAATAATGTATAAAGTTTTAGTTAGTCTTAACACTAAAAAATACTGTTCGAAACATAGGGAATGTTCCTTTACACTACTTTTGGCGTAAAATATTAGCCAGTTCAGTGACACAAATATTTATAATAACAATGGGACATGATACTCATAAGAATCAGTAAAGTTATTTTTACTAAACAATTTAAAATAAGAACAGTTAGTTTAGGTTCCCACTATTCTATTTTTTTTATAAAAGATTAATTTGTAAATTAAACTTACACATTACAGATAAAATTAAAAGGGATACAAATTAGGCTTAAGAGAACACAACTGGATAGAAATTATATGTAGCAAAGTTATTACAGTTCGTAGATAAAGAATAAAAATTTAAGTATGCGTGTTCTTATTACATAACTAAAAACATACATAAGCTTCTTCAATGTCGAATTTATTCAGTGCATCGCTATGTGAAAGACTACAAATTAACTATAACTTGTACTTAATTGTCAACAATTAACTGACAGTATCTAAAGGACGCCAGCATTGGTAATTTCGGTAGCGATGATAATTTACGTATGGTCTGAATATGCATTATCTAAACACAAACTTCTTCCATTATATATTTTTAGGTGTAACTACGCCATTTAAAGTATATTTAAAAGTTCCATTTGGGATTATTTTGAAAAACGTCTTCCTTCACTCAATTTTTTGGGTTGTTCTACACTAAAGTCAGAGAGCTGTTACACCAAAAACTTTACAATGTATTTTAAACTCAGGAATAACTAAACAATCATATAGCTATTTAAATAATTTTATTTCAGACAATTGAAATCATTATTATATGCATTAACAGGTGGTAAGTCATCATAACTAAAATTACAGTAGTCATTCTGTAGTCATTTGTTGAGCTTCTGATAGCAGCATATTAAAAAAGCTGTTTGTTTGAGCGTTCAGACCATCAGCATCTAAAAAAATTCATGAAAATACTTTGTTACAATAATTTCAGAATCTGAATTANAAAAAAATAGTAAGCAAATATATATATATATATAAATGTTAATGTGATTACAATCGATATGCTACAAAATGGTTTTGCTTGATGTATATAAACTGCTTAAAACTACACACTGTTATGAACGATACTTTATACTTTATAATATAAATATGAGTACATTCTTAAATTCAGAATGAGCTAAAGATGTGTTCGTGTTTTAATTTAACAACTATTACATTAAAAGTAATAAAAAAATAATTGTGAATTAAATTTAGTGAATAATATGAAGTAAAAATGTGAATACTTAGCTGAATTAGTGTTAAGTTTATTTTTATGCAATTCCTTAAAAAGAACTTTTTATAAGTAAGTAGACTGTCATTAGATTGACCAAATTATTAGGATAAGAGCTGTATGTTTTACTTAACAGTGTACTTATTAGTATAACATAAATCTAATTTAAAATTAGTTTTTAAAGCTAATTAATGAAATGTTATAGTAAATTGTTAGAATGTATAATAGAGTGACTCTTAGATTGAGCACTGCAACTGGAAACTCTTACTGTATAGGAAATCATTCATTTTCCTATTATTTTTAAGGTTTTTTATGATTAGTAATAAATTTTTATAAACTATTTTACTCATTAAATCGACTAAAATGTATACTTTAACTGTTTTGATGAAATGGTTATCACAGAAACTTTTTCAAATAAAATATTGCTGTTGGATCATAAATACATAATGAATTAATGTTTTTAATGGCCTCAAAAAAAATTAAGAAAGGATTAAAAATTATTTTTTGACTGACAAAGAGGAAACAAAATAGTAATAAGATAAAATTGTATCTTAAAAAGGACAAAGTTAAAGTTTATGACTTGGAATGTATTCCGGATTTGCTATACTTGAGATTTTTTAGTCTCTTTTTTTTCAATTAAGTACCAAATTTCAATCCCTTTAATGCGGAAATTTGCAATTTTAATTGTTTTAGGGAATCTGAAAATATTTATAAATAGTCAGTTGATTCGGTACTTCGCGTATATACTTCAAAGGATTTCACAAATCTTTTATTTTTCTTAAATTTACCCTTACACTTGTATTCTCAGTTTCTGCAAGAAATATGAATTTAAAAAAAAAAATAATGTATGAACCTTTATAAGTTTTCGCTAGTATGTGACAAATCATGACGTGTGTAAGTCAGTGTATGGAGAGAGAAACTCTGGTAATGGTTCAGACATTTCCGGAAAATAATCATAATTCTGGTAATAAAATCAAAATATACGGTATTTAAACTATTCATTGTAATTTTTCCATCCGTATGTTAACTGGTTAACCGAAAATTTCAGTTTTTAAAACTATAGTTCTTACTACCCAACATATATGTTGAAAATAAAAACCAAAAGCGAAAACTAACCAATTAAGTAAATGGTTTTTATGCCATGATGTAAAGTATCATGATAAATTTATCAAAATTTTTTCCAAAGATGTTCTTCATTTTACCACTTATTTTTTCATTTTAAACTTATGGTACCCATGCCTTTTACCAAGTAGAATAGTGTTAGTTCTTCATTTACGTTGCTCTAGTGCTGCACAATTGATTGAAAAATATTGGCGATGATCTGGGAAATATCCATGAGGATGATCCGAAGACTTGTCATCACCATTTTGATCCTTAAAAGAAGGAATGGCTCCTCGCTGTAGTAACCCAAAAACCTGCGGTTGAAGTACAGTAATTTCAAGCAGAACCTATTAGACACGTCAGTGAGCTCTTGGCAGGCTGATCAAAGTGGTCACCCACCCGCTCACTAACCGCAACTAAAACCCTGGATACTTAGATAAAATAGAGCTCCTCTTTTCCACGCGACCTTTGTGTCTCTTTCGATTTTAATTGGCTGCCGCTGATCACTTAGGTAAACTGCTGACATTTTGTTGATTGGCATGAACGGTGAAGTATGATTTTGACCGATCTGTTATTTTTTTTCGCTTTTCTTTTAACTTTCATTGTTTCATACTTTTAATACAATAATGAAAGATTGTTGGGTGCTCCAATATGTAAAAATTAGGCTTTAAGTTATATCGCTTGCCTATTGGAGACTCATGGATTGAATTATACTCATGGTACAGGGGAAAGTGTTACAGCTTCTGTTGGCCGAAAGTGACCTGGAGCACCAAAGGTAGAAGACTGATTCAGCTCCATAGTTTCACCTGCTAGCATTAGCTGGGCATAATGGAATGGCCTTCACGCCTAGGGTGGCGCTACCAGGAGCTAAGCTACCGACATACTTCGCCCATTCCTTCTAGTGGCACCCCGTCGCCACGGTGAGGCAGTTAGCAGGATTTGAGGGGGAACACCTTTGCAACTGGATGACTGTTGGAGACAGGGCTGCTGTTTCAATTTTGGGGATGCTCCTCAGGCTTTCAGCGGACTTTGGAGTACACTTCCAGTGGATTCCATCATAAGTTGGAATCAAAGTTAACGAGATGGCGGACTCACTGGCTAAAGATGCTTCTTCGGAATTTTTACAGCCACTTCCACTTTCAATGAGGTCTTTGCAGAGTGCAAAAAAATGTTCATGGACCTCTGGAGGGTTCCTCTTCCGCATAGTTGGTATTCCAAAAAACGTCCTGGATATGCCTTGCTTTTCGAGGGACCTAGAAGCCAACAGACTTGCTTCTCTCGCTTTGCAAGTGGTCACTTGAGGTATCTCTTGTATGTTCAGAGGCGGAAGATTTATGAACTTTGCACTAAATGTAGGACTGCTCAGGCCTCGCCCGAGCATATTCTAAACTGTATCGATTTTACGATCGATGAGGTTTTTTCAAAACTTCATCTGTTTTTAAACTTTCTGGACATTTCTGGACACATGGATTTGGTCTAATTGGGATGAACTTTTTGGGGATTAGAAATAACTTCACCTGTTGAAGATCGCAATAAAGAACAACGGAAAGTATGTCCGCGTAGAATTGGCAGAGATAAATGAACTCCAAACGATACTAAGTATGATAAAATTTTATGTTAAAAAAATAGTAAGCAAAATAATTGTCCCATTATATTTTAGACATATTTAGAAACTTTTGAGCCTACTAAACAGTTTTCTAAAATTATTTAAGCCTTGTTTCCCTAAAGGTTTTATTTTAAACCACTTACTGTATAAAATAAATATATTCAAAGTTTTTGAAATAAACTTTTACGCAATTTTTTTTAAAAATTTGATTTAATTATGTAAAATCCCCAATTGTTAGTGGCATTCAAAGGGAAATACATATTGAAATGCTTTTCCTAGAAAGTCAGTTGCAACAGAAACGATTTCTTTTTATTTATTTCGAATATTAAAAGCAATTTTTAAAATTTATAACTTCCAACCAAACCATAACTTCCCACCAAAATTTCAAACAATACGTATAAATTATTGAGTAGCCCTTAATTCTCACATTGGATCTGAATGAGACTGGATCATTCCATTTATTTCAAAGGTGGGGAAAGTGGAATTTACTGCGCATCATTTCGGCGCAGGAACTATACAATGAATCCGATTGCAATATTTTCTTTGAAGACACATAAGCTCCGATTCTTTCTGCAAGCAGATTTTTAAAATTAAAACTATGGAGCCATTTACTAATTTGGATTCATATATACATTAACTTATACATTTCTAATAAGTTTTAAATTAATCGGATGTTTTTAAAGATAATGTTTTTTACACTCTGATTACATTTTTTTAAATCGTAACTGATTTCATATAGTGTCTGAAATATTTTTTTATATCTCTTTATGTATTTTTATGAAGTTGAGGTAAGAAAATCTAAGTAAAATCTAGAAAGATTAATCATAGTATAGAATTGCCCTGCCCGGTATACATTTGCCCGGTATACCCTACACTGATGTTTTTTTAAGGTCAAGGGCCACTGCTCGGTATACATTTGCCCGGTATACCCTACACTGATGTTTTTTTTAAGGTCACGGGCCACTGTTCGGTATACATTTGCCCGGTATACCCTACACTGATGTTTTTTTAAGGTCAAGGGCCACTGCCCGGTGTACATTTGCCCGGTATACCCTACACTGATGTTTTTTTTAAGGTCAAGGGCCACTGCCCGGTATACATTTTCCCAGTATACTCTACACTGGTGTTTCTTCTAATCTATCGGCAGTAAGTATTAAAATATCGAATGAATGTAATTACATCCACGAATAAATTAATATCAAATCGGATGTAATAAATATTTCGGACATTCACCAAAGCGACTATGTGATTGTCAACATTCAACGGTGAAAGTCAACAACCACCGATTTCGGTCATTCACAGTAACATGCACATCATTCACATAATAACCTCATCAGGACGTTTATTTCATACTTTGCCTAAATAACATCTGACATTATATATAATGCCTAGGCAATGTGTGAAATATTAATAATTTCATACTTTGCCGGCTAGTTTTAGGCATTATATATAATGCCGGATATCATACTTTGTCGGTAACAGATATAAAAATTGATTTAAAAAACAAAAGCATAAGTACAACACTTTAAAAAAATACTACGAAAAATACCACACCCCTATTTTAAGTCAAACAATACTTGCCATACATATTATTGAAAATACTACGTATGAAAGTAAATTCCGACGCATGCGCAGTAAATTCTACTTTCCCCACCTTTGAAAT